TACATGGGGCACACGCTCTACCAGAAAAGCTACCACACCATACTATCATTGTATAGTAAGTACACAGTAATGTGACCAGTGCTCTAAGAAGAATTAATGACATTAGAATTGACTAATCTTAAAATTGTTTTAAGAAAAGAGCTCCCACATAAAGGACTATTTGGCATGTTTGTCTGGCTACTTCAGAACATTAATACATTTCCCTATACTAATAGCTACTCATTTAAACTACTAGCAGCTGGGTGCTTTATAAATGGCTACTCCCCAGCTATTTTGCAGGGAGCAGTGATTCATTACGTCTTGGTATATTCAGTTGCATCCTCCAAAAGAGGTTACGGCAACCAGTAAAATTGTCAAACAGGACACAACATTGTAGTTATTCATCGGATTTTATACAACAGAGACATGCCCCAAATTCTGTTGATTAAAAAAAAATCCTTCAAAGGCCAATTTCCATTTAGAAAAACAACAACTTTGAAATTGCCCATTAGCCACGATAATTCATAGCATGCTATCAAAGCACTCGCTAGTAAAATAACACCTGCCTGACTGAGTAGCAAGATCAACATCGCCATCTGGGGCACGAACAACAAACGTAAACACCTTGAGTGATGTTCTTTCTCCTCCGCCTCCTCCTTCTTGGTTCTTCTCCTGCATTCCTCTCGCTTCCCTTTTTTTCCGCCCTCCGGTTGTATAAAGACTTCCAAACATGTTTAACTAGCGTGCGGGGCTTCTGACAAATGCCAATTGATATTGCATCTCCCCTCACTCCCCTCCCCTATCCTCTGCCCCTCTTCCTTCCTCTTCCGCTAAACTCGCCGTAATTTGCTCTGTGGCTAAGTTCCAGACAAAACCTCAACTCATAGGAGAAATATTATTCCTGGTGCTTAACAATCAGCATGTGTGTTTAGCAATTAATTATGGCTAAGGGTTTCATTGCGGATAGAGAGAGAGGAGGGAGGGAAAGTTATTAGCTCAGTAAGACACTCATGTAAATTCATTCTTCCATCTTCACAATAAGAAAAACACAGAACTTAGAAGACTTGCTGGTATTTGTAACAAGCTTTTCTCCCTGTTTTTCTTGGGGTTTTTTTCTTCCTCTTTATCTCTCTCTTTTCTTTTTTCATTTTCCCAATTTCACTCTCTGGGATCTCCCCTCTAACCCGCCCGCGCCCCTTTCTCTTTGCTCACTGTCTTCTCTCTCTGTTATCAAAGTGTACACTGATGAAGGGGCCAAGCTGTCCATGTACAGCCGAGTTACAGTAAGGAGTGTTCACACGGCTTCCATAAAGCGAGCCATAAATAACAAAACATACGTTCCAATGAATTCAAATCAGCCCATTTGACTTGCATAATTCTCCAGGCGATGGATTAACATGGACTTTTAACACAGTGGCCATAAGAATATGTGGAAAAGCGCGCCCGTCTTGCGCGCTGTAGTCCTGCAGATGGGTTTTGTCTCCACCAAGCTCAGTGTCTCATGGTTTCCATCTGCACAGGTGTGCTATCTGTTAGAGCTTTTTGACTCATTCTGGTTTTCTTAAGTGCTGTACTTTATCTACTCTGCTTTTCGATTACAAACACACACACACACCACTCACTACTACCATATCACAGCATCATACGGATAACCCCACCAGCTCACCAATACCCTGTCAGCAGACTCATGTACACTCATTCTTCACCTTAATATTTATTTCTCATCTCAGAATTCTGATGGGGATGGCGTTTGTATAAATGGTAATGAGCTACGTCTGACAAGCGAGTCCTTGACTAACAAGGGCTGGTAGTGATACCTTCTGAAATGTGATTCGTAAATTATATTTTGAATATAGCTTCCAATTCCTCATTCAGGGAATTATATCTAGAACATTGGGTATAGTGTGTTTTTGCCTGTAATCTGAGATCGTCATGAGACATAGCGAGAAGAATAGAATCAGTAATCCTAGATAACAGAGAAAAAGTTTAAATTGCCGTATGAGTTACTTTGTAATACGACACATGTTCTCAAAGTCCAAGCTACTGTAACAATATAGATATTTAGAGAAAAAATATGAAGCTACATATTTACTGAAATAGAATTATTTAGAAAACTAGATATAAATTGTGTGATTTATC